CACTTGATGATGGTTTAGGATAATCTGTGCCATGACTCCAAGTAATATGGAGTTAGAAACGCAGAATAAATCCATCCTCTGACAAAAGTCAGAGTACTCCACTGAAATCAGTGGATTTTCTGCAGATTTGCACCAGCGTCGGTAAGACCATAATCGTAGTCCATCTTGGAGAAGAGAAGCCTGTGTGACCTGAAGTGTTCACCTTGTGATTGGCTATAAAGCAGGATAACTCTCACTGGGGCGCAGAAACTCAGTCCCTCCACATTCAATACTACTGCTTTTATGCCAACGTGTGGCAAGGCCAGTGAATACCATCTAGAGGAATGAAGGGTTTCATTAGGTAAGCAGACACCCCTAATGCTTTACTTCTGCCCAGTTTAGACTGTGCTGTTATTTGAGGTGGATGAGGGAAAATTCATGCTAGGAAGCTTTCCCATGTCTTTTGAAGAAAGTGATCTATACCTGGTACCTTTTAACAGAACTGAAAATGTGGCCTTTATTGAAACAATTGTGCATATTTGTGCAAAAATGCAAATATACTATTATTTTTAAGCAGGGGAGAGACATCACAACTACTTAAGTATTCCTAGGGAAATCCAGGAATAACCAGTTCAGATTTTCCCTTCTGGTGATTATCAGATCCTCTTAAGTATATAACCTGAGCAACATAACAAGACATTTATGCTTGTTTTGAAAATTTGCACCATGAGTTTACAGATAATTTTGTTTCACTGGCTCACTCTAAGCTAATACCTTTGATAACTTCTGCTCTCAGGACAGATACTTGGTTGCTCCGACTGCAGTCATTGGACTAAGGCTGTGTGCTGCTACCAGCACTTTTTTTGAGCAGTTATTTGTGTAGTTGCATTTTCCATGTGCTGACAGTTTCTAAGAAACAAATCATTTTCTTCTCATACAAAAAATATACCTAACTAAGATATTTATCCCCTGACAAAAGGCTATCCATTCCACAAAAGGTACAAATTAGGGTTTTTTACCAAAAAATCTATAAATGGAAAATGAAAAAAAAAGCAATCTATATTTGCAACCCAGAGGAATTTCCTTATGTGGATGAATGGATGTTTTGGTTTTTCACTATATTTTCAAATTATCCCCTCACTGCCATTTGTTAACTGGCACTTGTGCTAAGAACAATAATGTAGCACCTTATCTCTTCCAAAAAAAGAGAGAGCCAAATGTCTGAGCACTGCTGTAGGTTCGCATTTTGTGTTGAATATTTCAATTTCATAAAATACAATTGTCATTTAAAAATAATTAAAAAATCACTTTGCTAAAGATCAAACATAATGGAAATAATGTAAACATCCAAAAGCTTGAATTCGTTCCTAACTGGATTCATCTTTACAAGCAGGCAATAGTAAAATGTTAAGTCTCATAGTAGTCCAAAGAAACTCGTGGAACAATGCATGCATTTTCATTGACACAAAAAAAGACTGGACTGTAAGGAAGAGAAAGTACTTCAGTCATATCACACTGTTATTGTGAAAGAATAATGTGCTATAATCCAATACCTAGGACAAGTGTATACCCCAACTGCAGAATAGCATCACTTAAACTGGAAACAACAGAACGGATTACTATAGGAAAATATTTATAAAATACTGTACACCGCTTCCTCAGTTGGCCAGCATATGTAAACAAACAGCTAAATTCAGTTGAGTTTCAAAATATTATTAAAGTTCATTTATCTTATAATCTTTTGCATAACATGCCAGTTCATCTTTCACACTATCACAACTCACCTGTCACAGCCCACAGTGGCTCATTAGAGGTTTATACATCAGCTCATACAGACATTTAAGTGGAGCTATACAGAGAAATGTGTGAAACATACCAAACTTACACACTGTGACCAGAAATGCATATTCCATATGTAAGCTAATAATTGGATAGTGGAACTTAATGCTTGATGCAACATGTGCTATTTTATTGAATGTTACAGATTTACAAACAAGACCTTATAATGTGATATTAAAACTGTCCTGTAACGTTCACTAATATTACCACATGTCACAACTATACTGGTTTATATATGGGAGATATGTATATATGTGTGTATATATATCTATTTCATAAGCTATCCTTTGATACAGAATATGTCATATGGCACATGCTATAGCTACATGATGATGGATGGTAAGACTTCTACTCTCACTAAATGGTCATAATAGTATCGGGAGTGGGAAATCTGGTCCCATTGCAAGTAACGGGTGTTTTACCATCAAATTCAAAAAGGAGCAGTTTGATGCAATGCGTAAAAAACAAGTGAAAATAAAATAATCTAACATCCATCATAATATATTCTATAGACACCACATTGTAGAATAAATGGGAAACATTCAGGAAAAGTAGTGTTCTGACATCTTGCAATCACACTTTTAACATCTGAATTTACATTTTCTATATAATGGCAAATTTTAAGAGGTAAATAAAGTGTCCTGTTTCATTTTACCTGGAATGTGTGCTCCAGATCAATAAAGTGCTGTATCCTAAACATTTATACAGCTTCTGGGTTTGGCAAATTCCTTTACCCTGACAAAACTAAGCAATGAAATCTACCCCAGAGGAGAGCCCTACACCTTGAACTAATTCACTAAGCGCTGTTGAGGAATTTCTAATGAATCTGAAGTTCCTCTAGAGTAGGCCAGTAATATGGTGAAGGTGGAAGAGTCCACGAACAGTTTTAGCAGACATTCGTAAAAGTAACAAAGAAAACAAAGTGAGAATATCCCCCTCTACTCACCAAGGATAGATAGATTTGGAGAAGCCTTAGGAAAAGGCTGCTAACACAAGTTGGCACATTTGAAGCAGATTGTTAAACACAAGTTCCTTTGCCCCTGGGCGTTTTGCTATTGTTCAACAATCAGCCTGTCACAAGCATGCTTCATAATGCACAGAAAGGTTTCTGACCTTTCTCGGTGTTGCCATGTGACCGTAATGCTGCACATGGACTGCAAGGCAATTGCATAAACACGGTGTCTCAGTGGAGTTTAGCTCATTGAAAGCCTGATCAAATAGAAGAAAGCAAGGAACACGTTGGTGCAGGAAGTATGAAACACATTGTGCTCAAAGTCCCCATGCTGCATTTCTTTATTTCCTGAACTTTCCAACGTAGTGACTCGGTACCTAAAAGTTTTCACCTTCTTTACCTCTTTTCTTGAGGCTGATGATTATTTTTATGTCTGGATTTGTTGCCTTTCAGACTTAGCTGTCATACGGTGCTCAGAGTGTCCCAGGGTGAGACCCCACTGAGAAAACGTCAGCCTGCATTTTCAAAGCTGCCTTAGAGATTTGGAAGATAATTCCCATTTAAATAATGGGAAGTATGTACCCCACTCACATGTGTTTGTTTTTAATAAGAAAAAGGAGCTGGTTCTACACAGATGTTGGTCATTGTAGAGATGTTTTAATTTTTAATATCACTAGCTTCAACTCTTTACAAGCTTAAAAGTTGTGCTTTCATAAAGGATGTGAAATTTTGATCCCGTTGCAGTTTATGCTTCTCCACCCTTTTCCTATCTTCTGCATACCCTTCAACCTGTGACCACTGTGATATCTTCTCATGAGAAGTTTGAAACTCTGGTTGACATTGTGGACCCTTGGAACATGGGTGGGGTCAGTGGAGTTACAACTGTCTTCAATCAAAACCTGTAACTGCACTACCGTTCAGATATACTTTGTCCTACTAAAATGGATGTTGTGTGATATGCTGCTGAACGGTGGAAGCCTAGTCGCAACTGATGGCTTTTGCTGTTTACAGACACCTGCAGTTTCACTTTGGTTCTTTAACTTACCTTAAAAGCGTGTATATGTTTCAGTGTTTTCCAGTCCTCTGCCAAGAACATTTTCCCTTAAGCAACTTCAGTCTATTTGCATTAATCTGGATTCAGACTGCTTGGTAAGTCTTGTATACTTTGAAATGTTCAAATATGGCCATGCCCTCATAAAAATAAAAGAAAAGGTGTGTATTTTTAGGTGAGGGAATGATGTGAAAAATCAACAGCTCAAATGGAACAGCAAGAAGAGCTTGGTAGCAGCCTGGTGGATAAATCTCCTCAATTTGTATACGTAATTAAACGGAGCAGTGAGAACCTGACAATATTACTGTGCTCTGCTCTGATCACCCTGTTCTTACTGTTCCATCACATCCTTTGATTTAGTGAGACAACATATTGATGACAAATGTGGTAAAAAAATAAATATATACTATTCCGCTTAATTACATTCATCCTGAGCTTGCTCAGCTGTGCTAGAATCTAGAATGCCTGTTTTATACAGGAATCACCTGATATTTTAACATAAATTCTTCCTTCATTTAAGTTGCAGTACAAAAGGCATTTCATTTCCCTTTCTGCTCTTGAAAATATAAAATTTTTGTGGCACTAGAAGATACAAAAACAGACAAGTGAACGTTATGGTTGTTATCTTGTTCATCTTTCTTCATTTCCACAAGTATGTGATGCAAGGGATTTGGGAGACTTTAGGTTTGTTTGCTGCCAGTTCCTACAGAAATAACAAATGCTTTTCATCAGTCATCACAAAGGTGAAACAGATGAAAAAGAAGTCATAATTGAAGTTTAGAACATCTAATTTGTATATCTCTTTTTGCCAGTTAATTCCTGCATTCTAAAAACTTGAATAATTATCAAAGATCTTAGGATGCCTTCTAATAAAAGGCAGATTTCTGAACCTACTCATTTATTTCTTGTGACTTCATAAAGGGGACTTGTTATTCCTGTTGTTTACTGAAGTCTTTGTAAAGCTTTCATCCCTCCCTTTTTCCTTAAGTGCAAATGTCAACTGGGTCAAGATGCAGTAACTCAGTGGGCGATGCTGAGACTGATAATGTGCTCCCTTGACCGGTGGCTAACGCCAACTGTAGTTGACACAGGGTGATGTGAGTATTTTTTAAAATTCTGCTAAGAAAAATGAACAGGAGAGCAGATGACCCTTAGACTGCCGGTGAGCTTTGTCTAGGCCTAGCTGTGCTTGCTTTCAAAGCTGCGGAAGGCTCCTGTTCTTGACAGTCTCCTCATAGACAGGTTGTCCCCTCTGCTCTCTGGTCTCGAGGACCTACTCCTCTGGAAGGGGTTTCGCAGGCCTGTTGCGTTTCGCTGTCTGTCAAGTTTGTCACTGATAGAGTAGCTCTTGCGCGTGTGCTGTGCATACAACATGTTGGACTCCTCTGCAGAGTAGCTGTTGGCCCGCTCTATTTTTGGAAGTGGGATGCTGTTGGTCAGCGTTCTTGTAGCATTGCTGTCTTGAGGAGATAAGGGGATCCCCTTCCTGTCTTTGGCCTCAGTATCCTCATGATCAGAGCTTGGGTGGCTTAGTTCAGCTTCTCTCTCTGGGTGGCAGCATCCCAAGTCCTCCACTTTGCCCCCGAGACTTCCAGGGAAACTGGCCCTCTCTGCAATGGCCTGGGGAGCGCTCACACACCTCGTGTCTATGCAATCCGTAATACTTGTGTACTCTGCTGTTTTGACTGGGATGCCAAGGCTGCTGAAGTAGCTTCGAGATGGAGAGAACATAAAACTGTGAGATTTCACAATTGGCGTTTCCTCCAGAATAAATGGAGTTGTAGCCAGATAACGACTGCTTTTAGATCGCTCTAAAGTGTGATACAAGGGAGGGTCTGAATCCCAGGGCATTTGGCAATCTGTGATTTGCGAATAGTCTGAAGAAAATGCTCTAGTTTCTATTCCAGAGGTTTCCTCGTAATCAAGACTCCTGCCAGAAATTTTGTCACCAGGTGTACTGCTAATGTATGCACTGTTAGCTAAAATGGAAGAGGCTATGTGAGCCTGCAGAGCTGCATCTCCGGTACCAAGAATATTTATGGAGCTGTCGAGAGGCTCTGTGTCAGAATGCATCTCATCCATGGCAGAAACGTAGATGTCTATACAAGACGAAGGCCTTCTGGAGTCTGGGGCAATTGACAAAGTGCTGGTAGGGGCTAAGGGAACCTTTCCTTCTTTTGCTATTGAGTGTGAACTGATAGCCCGATGCAAGCTTGGAGATCTTTCCTTAAAAATGCTTTCAAACTTTTCCAGCCCACACTTGTCCTTCATATTTGTTGCATAGAAAGAGTGGCTTCGCATGCGGGGCATGATCGTAGGAGACGTTGGGGACATGGACTCCTCTCCCGTGGGATCTATGCTCTCTTGAAGCTTGTAAGTATTTCCCTCCTGACTATTGAAGCTACTCTGCCTCACAATGTAGGCTGCATCAGTACAGTCGGATGAGGTCCTGGATCGTATCTTGGTCGTCTCACCTCTCTCTATGCCGGTCAGTTTTTCTAAGGCGGTCACCATTCGTCCCATCATGTCTTCCAGCTGAGCAAGCCTGATGTCAACGGTCTGCAGAGAGGCCTTCATGCAGTGCTCTCGCTCATTTACTTCTTCCAGTCGCATGGCCATGTTCTCTACCCTTAAAAATGGAAGAATTAAACAGGTTAATCTCTACAAAGCAGTGATGTTCAGCTAATAGGTCACCAAAACTAATGGGAACAAATAGCTCTTAAAATTCAAAGCCAACCTACACCACCTCATCTGCTTCAAAACCCTGCTAAAAGAGGTTCAGCGAACAAATACCACTCGCTCAGGAAACTGCTCCAGTGGCTTAAACCAGGGGTGTCTGCTGCGTAATGTAGACGGTTTTGGGTGTGCCCTATCCCAGGGACAGGGGTTATTACAGAAATTTTACTATGACTTGCTACCTCTCTGCTGCCAAAACTTCTAATTAGGTTGTTATGAATGAATAGCACTTAAAGCAGATGCCATATGACGTTGTCCCCAGTTGTGCCAGAGGCAGGACCACCGCAGTTAACTGCAGAACTAAATGAAGTAATGAAAGTGGGCAGTATGCCATAGAAGGTGGGTAACATCCCATTTTTTTTCTGGTCTTTGCCCCACATTTACACCAGCTAGTGCTATGTGGACCTAAAGAGATAGTTTCTTTGTTCTCTGATTAATTTTTAGCTCAGATATATAGAAAAAAAATGTATCGACTATTGTATTGAATGAAGGTAATATCAAGTAAAGTATGCATGAAAACTGCAGGGAGGAGAACACTGATCAAACCAAATACAGCCTACAATAGGGTACACACACTAAGATTGCTCCATTACTGTGATTGTGCTTTGGGTAGTCTGTGTTAATAGTTTAGGGATTGAAATAGTTTAGGGATTTTGAAGTTATTTATTAGCTACCTATCATAATATATAAATAAAAAGTTAGATTAAAGTATTAATAGGTAATAATTGAATGTGTGATCCTAATTTAAACTTCAGTATATCTGTTCTACACTGTTGATCTGTGTCATTTTAAAATGTTTTCGACTCTAAGGTGAATTGTGTACTAATTTATGCCAGTGGCTTTCAACCATTTCAATTTTCTGACTTCTAAAACATCTCTACTGAAGGATTTATATGGAGTCCTCTAATTTTACACAGTGCAATTGCCTTTAGCACATACGAAATTTCTTCTTGTAATCATTTTCTCTGGTTGTAGTCCCCAGGGTAAACCAGGGACCTCCATTATCTGCGAAAGAGGTATTAAAAACAACACATTTATATAGTCATCTTTGTCTGATTTTTCAGGTTGCCATTCTGGTTTTCCCCATTCCTGTAGACACCGAAAAATGAACAGAAAAGTGACAAATACCACATGGCAGGATTTCCAGACTTTTCTCTTCACAAATCTCTTACTCCCTGCCAGTTAGTGCAATTCGTACTCAAATGTTAATAGGCGCCCTGTCAATCATAGCCAGGATTTCTGATGAGATAAATATCATCTTCCACTACTGCTAGTTGAATTTCCAACAGGACAAGTGACCTGGAACTGGAAACACCATAAACACTCTTACTTGCCCAGAAGGAAACCAGATTTTAGCAATGAATGAGTGTTGGGCAGCATTAATGCTTTGTTAATTAATGCACAGAACTTCAGCTAGTGAAACACTGAGGTCTGACTACCTCGTGGTGATGAGCAACAGCAACCCACCCACACAAGAGAGGAGAGGGGGGAGTGTGACACCACTCCCTACAGCAAGTCTCACATTCCTGTGAAATATGGGCTTTTTCTGTTGGAGATCGTGAGTTTTGAAAGCACAAGCACAGCAAATCTAACGTGAAGCAGTAACTGTATTGCTGTCATCAGACTTCAATAGATGAATGATCAAGTAATCACTGCTAGGAAATGAACCGGTAGTTTCAAAGTATCTCATTCTACTGATCTTATTATCATTTAGGCACCAGTCTACCTCTAGTTCCACCAACTTCTCCAACAAAACAGGTTAAAGTTATTGCAAGCACAGGATATAATTCCATAGTGAGAGAGCAGTTTATATGGGAAGCAGTTGAATTTTCCCTCATGTTATTGAATATCTGAAATGCTATTTTATAAGAACAATTATACTTTTGAAATATTTAAATATTTAATAATATTTATTAATAATTGAGTGCCTCATCACACATTCAGATTCTGTAACAACTGCTCCAAGATGATGAACAGATATAACATCACAATTTTAGGTCTGTCAGCCATATGGAACAATTTGAGAAACTTCCTGCATTTTACTTGAGAATGCTCAGATTATGACCAACAAAAAATATTCACTCCAGCAACAGTTACCCAAGAACTGGAATGAATTTATAACATTCTGTGAAGCTAAAACTGGATAGTCTTGGGTTTTTGGGGTTTTTTTGCTTGCTTTGAGAGTTGTACACAAGTGAAATAATTTTTAATACAAACATAGCCAGTTGAATTATTGCACTTGGTTACATGTTTGTATCTGGAATATGAGTAGAACTGTCCATAGTGAGATAAGTTTTGCATCCTGCATTCACATGAGAGCTATGCAATGCTACTGAACACAACTGATGCTACTGATCCCAAGAAGAACCTAGAGTCATACCTTGCTGGTATACATTCATAAATTTGTCCTGCCTTCCCTGAACATGATCTATTAGCTACTGCCAGAGGCACAGAGTGTAAGACAGGTGATATTGCTGGCCAAGACGAAGAGAGACTTTTGAGTTACACAGTCTGTTGGTTGCTATGCACGTAATCACAGATGTGATTGCATTGATAGTAGTAGGAAATTTATATAGAAACTCAACAAGATAAGGATAGTGCAGTCTGGGTTCAAAAAACAGGGGTAACCAGAGATGTGCATAGATAACTGAGAAGTACATACATGTATTTACACTGGATGGGACCTGACTATATAATTTTATTTACAAAAAGAAAACTTGAGTGATGATGATCTCCTCCAAACCCAAAGCTATTAGCTGAATTTAGTAATCTTTTTTAATATATATTGGATATGGCCACTCCCAGATTTTTTAACAATTGTTTATTCTTTTGATTAGTGATATTCTCTTATATTAATTCGATGTTCAGTTCTGCAATCATTCATCACACAGAACAGCACCATGCTCTGGAAGTAATCCTAGTAGAAACATGATAAAATCACATCAGCCAAACACTGTGGACATAAGGGGATATGTTCTGGAGAAATACAGTCATAATCTGGTCCTTAAAATGTTTTAATAAGTGAAATTTTCTGTTTTCCTGTATTGTTGGATGATCTTGCACTCAGTGAATAGACAGCTAGAGCTGTATTTCCTTCAGCAACAGTTTTGAATTAAAACACTATTTCAAAATAGGAATGCCCAAGTTTTGCTTTGGATTTTTTTCCATGTATATTAGAGACAGTATAAACCTTTTGGCAAATCTCACAATATCCATGTATGATGCCTCTATTGCACCTGTGCTTTTGCTTACAGCAAGATTTATCCAACGTATGAGAAGGTGCCAAGCCATCCTAACATATGGGAATGAGAACAGAAAAAGAGGAGGCCACATGTAAAATGTGTATCAAGTGTGTTCTGCTGAAGCTCAAAAATTTCTAATAGTGAAACAAACATGGACTGTATGAGGACAATATTCAGAAACCAGGAAAAAAATAAAAGGTCAGAACTGGGAACCTGGCAAAGATTTTGTATTACCTGTGATGAGCCTTTTTAATTATGGTTTGGGAGATGATGGCTTTTGCTGGCATTAATTTTGGTTATATTTATTTTTAACCTTTGCACATCAGTTCATTGGTAATTTAATTGAAGTAATAATTTAATGGGAGTAAGGCAGTCTTTTCGGAAATAGACCTCTTAACTGAATGCTAGAATTAGGTTCACAAGTCCCTTTGTGGACCTATGTCCGTTTTTAAGGCATCATTTATACTTCAAAATCCTTTTCAACTGCCTCAAAGACTGTAGACACTGAAAGTCACTTCCAGGGGTATCCACCCTGCTTGTTTTATTTAAATGAAACATAGACAGCAGTTCCCAAGCCTGTAACAGGCTATTGGTACTTTGCTTGACATCTTTTGGTAAAGACCAAAACCTGCAGGTTTCTGCAGGCTAAGGACGTTGGGTTGTCCTGGCTGCGTTCCCATCTGGAGCCTAAGACCACTTAACTCTTTGTGACCACAGAGAGAGGCCGCTGGATTCACAGACTTTTCCTACTGTTGCTCTGCATGTGTGGCCGGATCTGGTAGGCTCGGCAGCGGCCCTTTTACCAGCCCAAACCTATTTCTGTGCACTTCAGCCTGCCACCTCTGAAATCAAGATAATAACTATGTCTTCATTCTCATGGATGCTGTTAGTGTAATTGCACTGCAGACTATAAAGTGTTAAGGTGCCGTAGTAATGGACACCATATACTACCAAAGATGACGTAATAATATCTACTCCAACCAGCTTATCTGCTTTTTAAATACTGTTAGGACGTGACCCTGCTCTTTTTGAATTAACAAGAGGTTTTGCATTGCACTCTCGAAAGAGTCGAGACCTGTCCATATGGAAAAAATGCCTACCGAAGAGGTTGTTTTTAGGGGCTTCGTGCCAGATCAAGAAAAATAGTGCAGACTGTTTTGATCATATTACGCGTGTCTCTGTGCTGGTCAAAATGTGCCACTGAAAGTTTCACAGTGATTGGAAAGGAAGGCTCTCCAGGAAGAGTTGTGATTCTTCTGCTGCAATGAAGTGAAGTTGTCCAACTTTGCTTTCTCCTGGGTCTCCAGGAGATTCACCAAGATTTGCCTAACCTGATAAATGCAGTTAAGGGAAACACTTTACAGCTTTGTACTGCTTTGTATTTTTCTGCTTAGTCAATCACTTCCTCTGATGTGTATCACTAACCTGCTGCTACGTCCATGTACCTATGTGAGATCCTACCCAGTGAGCTACTCCTCCAAGTTACTTAGTACCTGGGGTCAGGTAAGGACAAACATCAAAAGTCGTTTCATGCTTTTAATTTCTGAATGTGAAAGGATCAGGTAAAGGAGAGATGCTGTGTGGTGACACCAAATCTGGACACCTCTGTGGTGTTCTTTGTTACAAGAGAAGTAAGGTGATTGCTGAACCAAGACAGGCCCCACAGGATGCCAGGATGGACTATTCCAAGGCAACTGCAGCTTGTTGTAGGTGAGTCAGACAAGATACTGTGGTCCTGACCCAGCACAGCCACCGACCACTTAGCTGAAATTGTTCATTTACACCCAGGTCAATGCAGCAAGAAACAGGATCCCTTGTTCTTTTGTTTTCCTGAGCTCCTAACCTGCCTTTGGGACCCACCTAGGCTGAGCCTCAAAGCAAGACTCTGTTCCCATGTCCTGTTTCCCTTCCAGTGCTAGTCCCCTACTCCCTCTTCCAGGTGTACTGGGCTTTGCACCTATGGTGTGCAGCTGTTCTTCCTCCAAGCAGGACCTGGGGCACTCTTAAAAATCCAGCTGCAAGTAGGAGCTGCTCAAGCAAGAGGTGAGTGTATCACAGACACATGGAGGAGAGGGAGGGCAGTAAGCAGTCCAGGTCCAGGTGCAGGTATGTCACACTTGATGATGATTGGAGACAACTTGATGATGATTGGAGATCATAATTGCTTGTCCCAGCCCTTCCTTCTCCTTGAGCCTAACAGCATCCTCAGCTTCCTGCAAACGGAATGTCTTCAAGGGGAACTTCATTCACATTTACGGGGCTTTCTGGTTCAATTTTACACCATGTAAAGCTGAGTTAATTGGACAGATGATTAAGCTGATATCTCACAGCTATAATGTAGGTATTGTGCTTGGTCTACTACTACAGGCTAATGACTGGACATTGGAAGAGAAACTGTGTAGTCTTGCATCTTCTCTGTTTTCTTTGCTTTACATCTTGTTAATTGTAGAAAGATGTCTCTATATAGAAACTATAAAGAGCAAATCTGGATTTGAAATATTTGAATGTTCCACAGGTTAGAAAAAAACTTCATTGCTGTAAGTCCTAGTAGTGTGCTTGGGTCTGGGAGCGGCCTCTGTACCCCATGGAGTCGCTACCTGGGTCTCCCTTACAGAGCTGGGGCATGCTGGCTTCCACATTACACTATTGGCTAAGGTAAATGGATTTTTAAGGAACTACTTCTCTGTGGGGCTCAGGTTCTTGTCTTCATTTACGATTCATAATCATGAACTCTCTTCTGGAACAAAGTACTTTAAGCCGTTCATTTAAAATAGAGATAAGGGCTCATTTCCTATAAAACAGGGCCAGCACAGAGTGCAAAGGCAGACTGTTATGTATTCATTTTCAAGGTCTTAGAGCACTTGCCTAATGTAGGGGAGGTCCTAGCTGGATTACTTCTTATTTACAGAGGCTTCAAACATACCTCTTCTTTCCTTGGCCACCAAGAGGAAAGCTATGCCTGAACAGAGATTTGCACCTGCATCTATGATTTTCAGGTTAGTTCTCTGACCACTGGACTATCAGAACACAAGAAAAAACTCGCTTGGTACTCGGTTGGACCACAGACCAATTTAGCCAGCTATCTTACTTTGAAGCATATATAATTCTTCGCCCCTTACATTCTCCAGTCTCTAAATATTTTCTGCTCAGGAACTTCATGGGCTCAATATGATCTCTATGTACTTAGCAGTCCTTACTGGATTTCTCTTCCCTAAGCTTGTCTAGTCTCCGTTTGAACCCATGTAGACTTTTAGCTGACATCATCAGCTTCTTTTAGACCTCATCAGCTTTCAAGAATTTACTCTGTTCCACTACTTACTGCATGAAAAAATGACCTGTTTTTGTTTATTTTGAACCTGCGCTCCTGCTAGATTAATCTGTTGCTCCCCTATATCTTGTTCTGGGAGAGACAGCAAACAATTGATTTCTACTCACCCTCTCCTTGCACTCATAATTATATAGACCTCTATAATTTCATTCCTCATTTGTCTCTTCCAGACCAAGTAGAGTTGGATTACTTGGCCATTCTTTACGAGGAAGCCATTCCATGCCTTACCATACTTCCCCTCTGATATCCTTTTCTAAAATATGTTTTAGGAGTGCTGTTTTCAGTAATGCAGATGATTAAAGAAAATTATATCTGATAATCCTACTCTGGGATAGATTTATTTGAAAACCAAATTAAAAATGTGTTTCCTTGCCTACAGAAAACATATTTTAGGCATAGCTGCATCAGGGACAGTGCTAGAAGGTTATGTATAAGGAGAAGAGTGTTACATCTGTGTAATCGATTACAATGACAACTCACCTGACCTCTGTTATTCAAGTTAAAGTGGAGTATTCAGGGAATGGAATATTCAGTAGTTCATAAGTTTTAGGAATATCTAACAGGATATTGTCCTAAAATATTTATTGGTAACAATGCTATGAATCAAACAAGAAACTCTGTCCTCAAAATTTAACTCTGTTGCTCAGCTGCTGTGTGATGAAAGCATATAAGCACCACAGCAGATGGACAGATTTATGAATATTTAGGACTGATGAATTTGAAGACTGGCAACTTCCACTAAATTAACGTATTACCTTTGTGCATTTCATTGCTGTAGGTGAAATGTCTAGTTCCTTTTAAATTAGTGGCAAGATCCCTGTTGCTCGCAATGAAAGTAGCTTGCCTAGGAAGGCCATCCTGAAACAAGGCTCGCTCTTTATCTGAATGGCTAGCAGGTCAGTGCTAAAGCTGTAGTTTTCATTGAGGAACTCTCACTTACTCTCCCATTGTGTTCTGACCACTTGTGCCCGAAAGTTCTGCTTTAAGAACTGAAATGCAAGAATAATTTATGTTTCTCACTACGTCAGTTGCGTTCTAATACAAATGGTTAAAAGATTTATGTTTTCAAAACTTTGAGGAACATTTGCTTTAGCAAAAAAGAAAAAAAAAGAGAAAAGAAATTCAGCACTTTTTATCACTCTGCTTTTTAGTTAAAACTTACTAAAAAATACCTCAAACGTTTCCCTTTTCAAGAAAAAGAAGGAGAATGGCAACAGAAACACATTTCCAGATCAACTTATGAGAGAACAAACAAAAGAAGTGCACCTTTCAGAAGTGACACGGATTCTTTCATCATTGGAGGAATTGAATCTGTCATCCTTTTCTCTAAAATACTCTTCTATGCACTGCTCTTCAAAATCATGGACTTTTTTCAATTCATCCTCAGTTATGAAAAGTTCTGTGGAAACAATGGAAAAATGTGAATTTGGCAAAGAATAACGTGAAATTAACTACATTCTTCTTATTGTGGAATTAATGGACTAAACGTTCAAAAGCAGGCTTCAAATTTATCTGGCATTTTGGTATGAAAGGAGATAGATGCAGCTAATTACCAAATTAGTGGCTTCAATTATATATGATTCTGGAGACAGAAACACTTAAGCAGGCAAACGCTGAGCAAACATGAATGTGTTTTGACTGCATGAGATCTGAGCACAGCTGCTGGTCAGGTCCTGGAGAGATGGTGGGAGTCAAAGCCCACCTGTAATCTAATACAAATATAATCAAATTAGCAGACTGCTAGGAAAGGAGTCTGAGAGTACAGAGGATCTATTTGACATGGCAAGAGCTGATATCTGCAGGCAGCAGCAAGGGCTGTGGCAGACAGTGTGATGTGAGTGGGAGGAGAGCAGTCTGGTTGCACTTGCATCTCCAGTGCCACCACATGGCTCCGGCTCTCTCCTCATAAAGAACTGGGCTGTGGCATGGGCTAATGTTGGGAAGAGATGCACATCCCTTAGCTCCCTGCCTCTGGCATATACACTGGGGGAGGTGGAGATCTGCTTTGAAGAACTAGAGAAGAGGAGAGAAAATGTTATCAAAATAATCTGACAGGCTTTCCATCATGCTTTATGGGAGTTCATATTAAAGTGTCTGGAGAAACTACTCCTCCAGTTTGAGTCAGTGTCAAGGAGAGAACATGTGTCTACAAAATAATTACTTCTCACCATGTCTCAGCTTATCTAGGCAAAAAGTGTGTTGGGGGGAAGTATGTGCTGTTTGCTCAAAAACTAGGAATGCTCCCTCTGTGTTTTCAGAAATAAAACTGAGATCTGGAAGTGTGATGGACTGTAAGAAGAATTCCAGCAATAACAGACCTCTAGCAACAGCAAAACAAACCCCTTTGCTTTGAAGGAACAAAGGGGGGAACAACCCCCAAAAATCCCAGAAAAACACCTCATTAATGCTCTGAGGAGAACTAAGGGTTGGGCAATGTGCGTAAAACTGATTCAGGTAAGATTTCTGCAGTTAAAAGTAGTTCTCTGCTGGAAAGGTTATCAAGGTGCTGGACTTAGCCTTCATTCACGTCAAACAGTAGATATTTCCAACGGCATGGAAAGTCCCACTCTGTAAATTGTCTAAGGCTTACTTAATCCATAGTCTCTCTCATCTGGGTCGCTTTCATGCTTCCGCCATCTGCAGCAGAGGTGTTGGAATATCATAGTCATATGGCTGAAAATGATCAGAGGCGGTGGGAGAACAGGTCTTTCGTGAAATGTCATGATTAGCTGATATCTTTGAAACTTCCATACTTGGTTGGATATGGATTTGACTTCAAAAAATGTATTGCTAGAAGGCAAGAAGAGGAAAATAACATCAGATTGAAATGGTTTTGGGTACTTTGCCGAAGATGATACGACAGCACCTTAACTAGACACATTTCACTAATAGTGGCAAATGTTTCCTTGTCACAAAAGGAAGAACAACAAAAGAAATTAGTAAGTTTGTGCGTCAGCAAAGCACAGTGGCAATCAGCCATTTCAAAGTACCTTACTACTGTGTACGTCTGCTCTGTGCAACCACTGAGTCTTACAACAACCCGAGACAGGAAAATATTTTTATTCTTGTTTTCCATATTGGGAGTGAATGATGCCATAACTGAACTTTAAACCTTTTGGCTTCTCTGCCCTGATTCCTATTGGGTGTCTGTCCTCGGAAATGAGACAATGTGAAGAACTTGGCATTTCCCTCATTCCCTGGAGACAAGCTACTGCCTCTTTCCTTCTCACCCTCACATCCTCTGAAAATGGGTCTTCAGCTTAGCAGCTTTCTTAGGCTGTGAATAATGTCCATCCCCACCAAGTCCATACTTTGCAATGTGTCACTCACTTGAAAACAGCAATGAGGAGGTTCACCAAAAGGATGTTTGCAACCAAGAGGTAACAGGCCATGATGGCAGGAACAATCCATGCTCCTGTCTTGCAGGGAGGTAGCTGGATTATTTTGCCATCTTCTCTGGTTTCATTTTGACCACAAGGAGCTGGGAACAAAAATGCAAAAAAAAATACAAAATGGAAATGAAGCTTATTTTTTCAGTGCTTTTTACAGAAATATTTCAATATTTATAACGGCCTGCCTGCCAAAGCAATATCTTCCAAATAACAGTGGCATTGACGCTCCCCCCAAGAAGTTTGCACTTGCTATTACAGATTTTACAAGCTGCAGTTCTTGTTATTGTGTGTTATTTGCCATGAATATCAAGATATTCTCATCAGAAATTGCAGGAGACATGCCTGGTGTGGGTAAGCTGCCTGGTTGCATACAGCTAAAATATCATGGTACTCTGGTAGTAATTAGTGGCTGTGCAAATAAAATGATCAAAATATTTTATCCTGGAAAAAAGCTTACGTATTTTTTTTTAGTGGTGAAAGCTTGGTCTTTTTTTGATTGATGGATAGGTATGTGATAAATAGCATAAGGAAAAAAAAGTATATGAAAGTAAATTAAAGAGTAGACATTTATTGCTGTGCACTGCACTGCCCCGAGCCACTCTGGGATATACTCATAATGACGCTCTGCTCTTAAGGACTTTTGACTGCATGCCTAGAAACAGTGGGGGAGGTTATCAAGTCTTTACTGTACCAGGTAAAGGGACATGTAGGCAGCAGAGTTGCCACCTGTTTCTTCCCCAAATGCTTTGGAACCAAAAGGTTCTCAGTATTAATGTTGTAGAACTGAAGTAAGGGGAGAGAAAACATTGTGAAATAGTTTTTCTTGCTTATTTTTTTACATGCCTTCATGTGCTGTGGTGGGTTATCTGCATTTGCAAGCATGGGTTCAGTTTATGTCTTTCTAGGCTCAGTCCTAGTGGTCCTAAGTACCTCTGTAATCAGCTTTTCAAGAAAATAATTGAAGCAGCAGCTTACATATACAAACCATCTTAGTAAATTTTGCACAGCACTACAGCTAGCTTCCCTTTGTCCCCATCAAAAAGAAGTTTACGTGAGGAATTTTCAAAGTGCTCAGCACTGGCTCAGTTCCTGCCAATATCAAGGAGAGTTTCCCACTGACTTCACGGACAACAATGTTTTGTATGTTTTGTAAAATTCCACCCTGTGTCAACAAATCCATGATTTCCAATACCAACTATTACTTCTTCTCAAAAAGGTCCTTCTGAACTTGGACAACAAAGTTTACCGATGCTGTATGTTTTGTAAAATTCCACCCTGTGTCAACAGATCCATGATTTCCAATACCAACTATTACTTCTTCTCAAAAAGGTCCTTCTGAACTTGATTCACAGAGCATGGGATTCAGCTGTGGTTGTCTGTACTGGCAATCATATGATATTACGTGTGATTTGGGTACTTGGTTTTGGGCACTACATATGGCTGTTAGCTATTACATATAGAAATATTATAGCCATATGGGACAGAAGGATAAATGATACATCAGCTTCCAACAAGAACTCTCCCAAAATATTCAACTCGCAGAAAAAGAAATGGCAAAGCCAAATACAAGCAATACTACTTTTGCAATCAGCTCTGTCATGTCTGGACCGATCATGTCACTAGTCCTTCCTACTTTCAAAAATACTTTTTATTACTGGAACAATGAGAGTACACAATTTTCTATGTCTCAGAAAGCATCACCTTGCAGATCATTTTAAGTTAGTGCTGATTTCATGCTTCCCGCACTGCTCCAAACAGTGGTTTCATTTAGATATTCAAAATGCCATCTGTGATAAAAAAACCACTGTGACTGTGAGGCTATGTGCATTCAGCCTTCACCCAGCAGAAATTGGGACATTCAATACCTCTTGGTATCAGCACTCAATGTGAGACTTACATTTCTGTTTGTGTGGAAACACTAACTTGCTCACATGTTGATTCAGAGCTACAAAGTCCAACACAACACAGTACCGAAACCCATCATGGTTTCACCAGTAACGGAACAATCACTCTATCAGTTGATGAAACCTGCTGTCCTTTTGTGTGCTGAAGAACAGAAGAAATAATGTCTTTTGTAGCAATGAGAGAAATTGGTGAAAAGCATATTTTAAACCTTAGATCAATGAGATCAAAAACTCAGCTCAAAGTCTGGTTACAATTCTATTATCCCATTTTTTTCTATTAAAAAAGAGAATTTAATATAAAAAAAAAATCAGCTTTGATGACTACCAAGACAAAAATGATTTCTCTGGCTTTATTTGCCTACAACAGAGTATTTAGAATACCATTAACTCATCATCCCTGTCAGTTTATGCCACACAGTGATGGCCAAATTAAGACTTCCTACAAAGACAAGTTCCCATGGTCTATTCTATACATGCATAGATGTTTGGCTTGTCCTGAAGGTTTGCAAAAGTTTTTCTCTTTTGCATGTTCTGTTGCGGGAACAGTTTTTAAATAACAAGGGAATCCTAATCTCATGCCTTACTTTATGGAGAACGAAGCCACCGCTTAATCTTCACATCTTCAACTGCATGAGAAAATGCGTGATGTGTGTCCAAAATGAAGAAGCCTGTGTTCCACTGCACAGCACTGAACATCTTCTTCCATCTTTAAACTATAACATTAATTTTAAAGGATTTTTTTTCCACTATTAAATGAACTGTTTAAAATAATTACTCCCAGGAAACCAGAAGCAGAAATTTCTCTCTCTGCTTCACAGGACAGAAGACTGGCAGGAGGCTAAAAGTAGCAATGATATTCTTTTTAGATAATTAAGATATTTGTTTACATTTAAGAAATTAGAATTCTGTTTGTAGGGTTTGAGAAGACTTTGTTATGGTAACCGAGGACAGTTTGCCTCCCCCATCTGAGTATGTGGAGTCCCAAGCACGTCTTATCTCCTTGTTACGATAAGCTGGGGTAGTTGGCTTCCCCCTCACCTGCACATACCCCTGCATGGGCACCAACATGATGGCCAGCTGCAGATCTCAGAATTCGGACAACAGCACCTGCATTACATCAGCGAGTTCGCTAATGAGCAAAACAGGACAGTTTATATGCACGGTATGTTAATCAGCACAAGTGTTATTATCCACCCCTGCGGTGCTTTCCCTTGAGCTTCACTCCCGAGCAGGGCTCCACTGCGTCGGGTCTCCATTTGATTAGCGTTGGTGTCCCGGGGCTCCCACTGTGGTAACACTACGCTTTCCATAAAGCCAAAGCTTTCACTCGCTGAGTGCTGTGCCTCGTCCCCGAGGGACCTGCACCTGCCTTTCATGTGCAACACGGTTTGACCATTTTAATTATGTTTGGAGAAATGCAGTAATTTTTGTAGTATGTGCAGTAACATATTGTGATAACAAACTTTTTCAAAGCACAATTTTAACATGTATGAAAACATACTCATCTTTTTACATTACAGCCTTGCTTTAACAAAAAATACATAGAGTACTTAATTCTAGTGAAATGTTTTGCTGAAGTAAATTCTGTTAGTATAACTATATGCCTATTTCAGGTAACTGAAAAACCCAATCAGTTTAATACCTACAGGCCATTGGATAAAGGTTGGACATTAAGTCCTGAACTCAGGCTTTAGAAAATAATAAATGGCTGGAGTTTTAATTTCAATTACACGCGTTAACTTCACTCAGCTTTCAAATATTGCATCTGTAGATGTATGTATTTTTTGCATCTCTTGTTTCCTTTTTCACAATCTCCTCCTATGTTTTTTTTTCCTTCCTGGCTCCCGTTTACAGTTTCCTGTATGGGCCTTTCCTGCTACATACCTAACCCTTCCTCTTTCCTGGCCAGCAAATAGTTGCAAAGCAAACAGCGGTAACCCATGCCTCTGTGTGTTGCAGGCCTAAAGTGGTGGCAGAGCTCAGGAAGAATTTGTTTCCCTGCTGTAATTACTGTCATGACATGGGCACTGCTCATTTTTACTGTGTATTGGGTGGAGGAATTAGGAAACAATGCTTACAAATTTCTGCGTCACACCTCTTCCCCCAGCTGCACCCTTCCAAATTAGTTGTGGCAAATAATGGAGAGCGGAAAGTGCATAAATTGAACAGCTTTGTTACCAAACAGCTTTTTGCCTTTGATGAAAACTTCTCATGTAAAAATGGATGCCACTTTTACAATACAGGTTAATTTGTTTCAAATCTCAAGAAACTACGGAATGGGTTCATATGATCACAGTTCTAAAGAATAAGGAAACCAATAAGTGCGTATTAACTAACAAACCAACTCATCTTTTTTTTTTTTTAATTTGTCTGGACATTTTAAATGCACTTTCATCACCCTGTTTATGAGTATATAGGCACCTTCCAATTTCGATCTGCACTGAACCCAAAAGATGTGAAAGCATTTTATAATTTTTTAATCAAATGTCTAAGCAACCTTACCAGCTTTCCAGGCTGGTAAATGTTGAAAAAAGGCTAAGCGAGCTGACTAGGGCTGTCCACTTCTTCACTGACAAAGAAAATACCGAACTCTGGGAACTCTGAATCTCACACCATTGCTCTGTTCATCAGCAGAAACATTTGGGGAATTGAACAGTGTCTTGTTACTTCAAAAAAGTTGCTTTAACTACAGCATTGTGACTTTACATGTTGCTTCTTTCCCTCAGCCACATTAAAAATGACTTTGAAGTGTCTCTCCAATCTGCTGGTGTTTTAATCATAATTTATAGTAAATTCCTGTATTTTTCTTGTTCTTTCTAGTGCTTTCTCCCTCCTCCTCCCCCCACATTAAAAATATCCAACCAAATGGAACCCAAAATATAACCTCAGGGGAGTGCTAGGAAGGGGAACACTACTGCAACTCAGGCCAGAGAGACTTTCAAATGTGCACAGATTTTATTCTTTGCCTTTGTCTAACAATGCTAAAAAAGTTGCCTGTGCTGCAGAGCTGCAATACAGATGCAAAAAACAAAAAAAGGGCAAAAAAAAAAGCACAGGTATGATTTATTCTGTTTTGTGCAAAGCTGCTCTGTTTGTTCTAATTCCAGAACGATCCATGCAAATGACAGCCCTTACAGAAAGCTCCTATGGAGACATGAAAAGCCTGAAACCTCTAAGATCATATAGAATTTAGTATAAAATTTTCATTTATACTAGGAAATCTTCAAAAACTTTAAAAAATAAATAAATCTGACAGACTAAGTAATTTAAAGAGCTTAAAAAAAAATTCTTTTGTAGCAATTATACTTTCCTTGTAAGTTCATGGGATAGTTAAAACCTGTGTATAATCGTCTCTCATCTTCTGAAACAACTGCATTCTAGTTGCTTGACATTCCTTGTAAGTTCTGGGATAGTTAAAACCTGTGTATAATCGTCTCTCATCTTCTGAAACAACTGCATTCTAGTTGCTTGACATTCCTCCAATACAAGTGAAAGAGAAGGAGGCCCCATCTTTTTCTCTTAAACTATGTAGGTTTTTCCAATAAGGGAGTAGGCACTGGGAACAAACACAACTCAGACTGATCTTCAGATTCCAGATGGCACTTGAAATATTGTCAGCTGGAAAGAAAATCCAGATGCAAATCTGATATGTGAGACCAGGCAAATCTGAAAAACAGCCCAAACCAAAAAACCCAAACCCATGTTGGCTAACAGTAGTCTCAGTTGCTTTGCCTTCTGAATATAGGAAAATGTGAGGTCTGCTGCTGATTTTCTACAGGTGACTGCCATTTCTCAAGTTGCCATTTATGTCATCTATCTACATTTTTTACCAAGAAAACTCACTCCCTGAATAATCATTTCCTCTTCAGTATTTCTTATATACTTCTGTATCTGTAGTATTCTGTAGGGGCAGATAGCTTGGTAAGGTGAAAACACAGTTCTTTGCGTGTGACAACTGTCTGGTGAATTTTTTGGCTAAAATTGCCAGCAATAGTGCCAAAGTAAGTGAGATGAACTGAGGGAGAGATTTTACAGTGTTTGTGGATTTCCTTCTGGACGGGCATTCACTAAAGCAGCTAAGTGGCTGGCTGCTGCCCCATGGATCCCATTGAGCAGCACAAGGCTCAACTGGATTAGGAAAGGCAGCCTAAAAGTGAGACAGTTGCATATACCATCACCGGTTCCCTGACCCGGATCCCCCTTCCACCCCCACCTAATGCAGCTGTGATGAACTGTCAGTCTGAGAGGAACTACTTTAAGAGTGGTTTTGCTCTTTTTGTTGAATTTACCTGAACGTTTGAACACAGTTCTAAAAGACTTAATCTGCCTTTCCCCCCCC